ATTGATCTTGTATGTAAAAATTCACGTCACAATTGAAAAGTTGATGTCGTGAGACAATGGACGCATACCCCACGAGCCTTGATCGGCCGATGAACTTATCCAATAATCTCCTTATTTCCACATAAAGTAATTTACAGAGATGTCGATGTTAAGTACTTACGATATGATAACCCTTATGTAAAACAAATCGCGTGCCGATATTGCCGTGAGGTCATATATTCCAATATATCGGGAGCGATCCCCTTTAAACCTTTTATTAAGCGCAACTTTAGGCGTTATGTAGGGATGTGTTTAATAATTTTCAGTTGTGTTATCTGATAAATGTCGTTGACCTGTCTTTGTTTTGTTCGGTTCTTTGATGGGGCATTGAGGAGGAACAAAGTGACAGTTGAGTTCGTTTCATCATTCAGTGTTGGGTTCATTTGTTTCGGCGATATTGTTTTGTTGGGTGCTTTGAATTGATTAGTTCCTGTCATCCGTTTCGTTTTATTTCGTTTTATTTTTCTAATCATTTGAAATTGAACTGTTTGCTTTGTTATTTCCGTGTTTGTGGTGATCATAATTTTTAGAGTACAATTTTATTACCAGTTTTAGCGAATGCTAAGAATTTTAAAATATGAATATGGCCTCGGCTAATTCTATTTGACTTTTTGATGATATATCATATATGCTTTTAACTTTACTGTTTTCAACTATGCCGTCATTCTCCAATAAACCAGCTGACCTTACTCTGGTATTACAACGACCAATAGATCCACTTTATTATCCATATAACTCAGTCTACAAGTTGTGTAAAGTACTTAATAATCCATCAATCAGGGGCTGTCAGTGTATTAAACGCAGTGTTGTTTAAATTGGAGCCCTAAGCCAGGGACCCTTAGTGCTTTATCACACCAGTTTTTCAATTAAAGGGTAGACAGGGACAACTCAGCTATTGACGAAGAGTCAATGAACTCAGCTGGGTGTTATTACGGCGAATTTCGTAATCCATATATGCGATGTGAAGAAAAAGCTCTTAGCCTATTTTTAAACACATTACACGCGCCGAAGAGTGTGTGATTTGCCATAATGGAAGTTCATAATCCAGTCAATTGTGAATGTGTTATAAATATATTCGATTTCATTTTAAATGTGGCTGAAATTTGGCTATTCATATTTTATTCGCAGTCGCAATCTTAAATTAGAAATCCAAAAAGAGTTTTAATCGAGATGAAAAATTGGTATATGTGAAAATAGAAAGACGGCGATGTCTATTCTAAGAAGCGACATAAATGACCCACCTTGCCGTATATATGAATAATGAGCATTAGATAACGTGCTAGGGAGGGAGGCTGTACGATCGATAGATGCACCAGGTCGTTGACCCCGGCAAACTTCTGCTGTTTCGACCACCAGCCCACTGCCCTATAAATATGAAATGACACTCTCGCCTGCATTGCGGTTACCGTATTTTTAACAACCTCTTCGTCACTAAATCGGTGCATTCATTTCAGATGCAATTTATTTTTATGCAAGTAACATAGATTTTAAAAACAAAACATTTATCGATTTATCGTCGTACATCGAATGTATTACATAGGTTTTGTCAGTGACCTTATAGGCCGTATTTAAATTTGGTCTTCAATTATAGACTTGTTATGTAATTAGTATTAGTATCTATGAAAAAGCGCATTATTATACGAATCTTTAATCCGGATGAAACTTCAAAATAAACAATGAGAAAGCCCCCCATACCATAAATGATATTACAATTCTATTTTCAAACTGTGTGTCATGTGTATGTGAACTTGTATGTTTGTAAACGCACCCACGACACAGGAGATAGTCCTAGTGTGCGGCCGCGTATAAAAAAAAAAGAAAAACAAAACTAAAGTGACGTAATAATATTTTGAACTTAACTACTATGAAGGTTACTGAGTTTACTATAAATTAATCAATTTAATTTAATATAATTTGTACTTATTTTGAAACTATTTTTCGTAACTATCATCTACCTACTAGTGCGCCTCATTATACCTATTAAACAGATGAAAATAGGACTTTATGTTTTATAAAATATTTTATCTTTTTGGTTCTAAGAAACAATAGCGAAACTCTTTGCAAGTTTTATCGTATTATGTCGCCGTTTTGAGGACAAAACTAGGTTAATGAGGAAATGAGAAATCCCTTAGTAACTACTGATTTATACCTGAAATTTGCTGAGATTTATGTCCGGTGTATGACGATACGTTTGTCCTCATTTCATTGGACACTTGACTAGGGAAAAGTAAAATATGTTGCCATTAATTAAGGGTGAAACGTTATATTTACCATTCGTTATTTATTTATTATTCGAGGGTAAATTATAACGCATACACCACCTTATATGATAGGTTTAAACATATTTGAACACTAGCTGTTGCCCGCAACTTTGTCCGCGTAGAATATGATTCCTGTTTTATCCTATGGGGGCATTTAATCGGGTGAAAAAGATATCCTATCACCTAAGTCAACCCATACCCTGCCTGTATACCAAATTCATCAAAATCTGTTCATTAGTTACAGCGTGATTGATGGACAAATATCTAAACAAAGAAACTTTCACAGTTATAATATTAGTGTGATTGTAGTGTAGACTTATTAGCTTCATTAACTTCATTCCTGAGTCCTTCTGCCGGGTATGTACGACAAAAAATATCCATAACATTTAACCTGATCTTTATCTGTACGTAAATTTAACAATAACTTTAGTTATTTTCAGTGAGGCGGTAGATATCATATTTTTATTTCAAGCTTAATTTGACAAACTTTAAACAATTTTTCGGTTGTAGTTTTATTAACTCACGTGCAGAAATGGTGCGTAGGCGTCGGTCATGTGCGCCGCTCTGCAGGTGATCGGCTGATCGACATACACACAGTGGTGACAAACTTAATGTTTTTCATTACGAATGGAACCTTCCCTAGATAATAAACGTGCTCATAGTTAGTAACGGTCTATTGGAACCGCGTTTTATTGGAAATTATAAATATTGATAAATGGGTGAGCGATGGGTGACCACTTAAATTATTCTTTGGCCTCTAAACTCATCCATGTAAATTAATATAGATCAGTTGTAACACAGACGTAGATGTCTAAATCTTTGTAATATTACTGCAAGATTTTCTGGCTATAGAGAATTGTTTTCGTCTTAATTTATTATTCTCCAATTCCTCCATTAATATTTTTTGCGACTTTGCGTGTATCATGTACGCACTGTGTTATAATATTTTTTTTTGCAGTTTTCATAAGTTTAAAATTATCTAGGAAAACTGAAATATACCTTATTATATATAGAAATTAAAGAATATCCCATCATTAAAGAATAACCTCGATTGCAAAGCTGAGTTATAGGAGTAATATGCCTGATCTCTACTTACAATAATTAAAATGTGTAATGGTGGAAATCGTCCTTGTCCTAATTTTTGCTGCATCAATTATAACTGAACCATCTATTTTAGGAACATCAATTTAATGATGCTATTTTAAAATAGTGGGATTGACCAGTATAACAAGGTAAATATGAACCAGTTAGACTTATACAGCAAACATAAGTCTGGATTCCATGTTAAACTTGGGATTTCAACAATTTTCGGTGAAATTCCGTTTCGAACCCACCCCTTTATGTCCAGCAGACACGTTCCCAATAAAGAAATAAACGTACCATTTCAAAAGAATATCGAAATCTATTTTTGGACGAAGGAATCTGCTAAAATTTTCCCGAGACAGACAGTTGTCACTCCCTTACTTAGCCGATAATGGTCAAAGTTTGGAAAAGTTAAAAAGGATCTAAGAATCACTAATTACGGAGTAAGTTTTTAAATTTTAACAAATTCGTTTAATGGTTGACAGCATGACGTCATTCCGATTGATTGCTATCAACAGGTTCCGTATTTACACATTCAGTTTTGGACAAACAATAATAATTATAGTCACCGCAAATATCGACTATCTGTGGTAAAACAGTAATGTATTGCGTCACATCGACAGATTCACAATATCATGATTGTTATTTTACTAGACATTAGGTAGAAAACTGTAGTATCTAGTTCATAACATATTGGACAAAATCTTAAATTCTGTCCTAGTTATATTACGATAGTACAATAAATAGGAGGATCGTAGAGTTAATAAAATAGGCCCTTTGTCCACGAATTTACACTTATTCCTTTCTTAATTTTTTTACAGAAGTCCAAATTGCTTTCACACCACTCTAGCTTTTATTCAAAAAATAATATTTAATAATTATTGTAACAAAGTGTGATCTTCAGCGTAATAGGATGGTTTATATATATTTTTTTCTATTATGAAAAGAAAGTAACAAAGACCTAAATGATTGGGAAAATATCTCTGTTCACTGACATATTTGAAGATTTTGGCAATGTTCCTAGATATAAAAGATGGTTGTATTATACGAATGGATTATTACGATACACATTAAAGAGTAGTCAAGTGTCGTAATGTTGAATACCTACCTATTTTATTTTGGCAACTTGTTGATACAATTTTATAGGTTTGTTGAACATTTTCCTAGTAGGTAAGTAAGTCAGTTTAGTGAAAATGTTAATAATTTTTCTTAGAACTGTCTTTGGAATTATTATAACAACTTTTCATGAAGTTCGTCTCTGTTTTATTTATTTGGTCGTTGAGAAGAAATGTTAAAGGAAATGTATTAATTTCCTTCTTATTTGAATTGTGAATTGAAATATATGAAATATACGATATGTATTGAATACTTACGTATACACTTTTTGTTATATGGTTTTCCGTTTTGTTCTTTTGATCTGGTACCAGTTACTTTCTTGTATTGTTATGTGTATAATTGTGTGAATTGTTGTTACATGTGATTGTGTCATTTTATAAGTTCTTAGTTGACTTCTCAATGTGTTCAGGTAATTTGTGTATGCTAAGAGGTTAGGAATAAAAATCAGAAATAATTTTCATAGTTTTTATTTTAAATACGAAAACTCATGTTAGTCGACAATAAAAATTACTTACATCTAATTTATTTAATATTTAAACTAGCTACTTAGTATATGGCAATACCAACTGAGTATTTACTGATCAAATAGTAGACAAATAGTATATCTATATGTATAGGTACAAATTCGAAACATTTTCAAGTGATGATTAAGTAAATTTAAATTCTCGCTAAGACATGCGGTGTTCTATTCTGTAACGTACTTAAATTCCATACGGCACACCATACACGGATAGTATTAAGGTACACAGTTCTTAAAGTAATAGTATACCGTACATCTAGACCTACTTATTTCCCAAAGGTGGAAAGGCACTATGCTTGATTAACAAAATCAAAGTTTTACACAATACAACTCCTCCATTAGACCGACTGCAGTACAAACATTACTCACTGAAACTACTTTATTATTACAACGATTTCAAAACGTATGCAGTTATGTGGTGATTGAAACAAGTACATAAATCGTGATTCGACCAATCTTTAGTCTAAAGTAATTTAGATTGGTATTCTAGAGTGCAGTACAGGATACAAACAATGACAATACCCGGTGAATAGATATTAGAAAAGTGTCTACTAGTAATGCTCAACAGACCGACAGCTAGTTGCAATTCAGTACACAGTCTTATGTATTGTCCCTTAAATACAACTAAACGAGTCACAGCTCAACTTGCAGCGAACGCTGCGGAAGGCCCCGGCGCCTGGAGCAAGGCACTCTCCTGGCGCCACCCTCCCTTGGTCCTCTATGAAGACATCGTTACGTCGGCTACTTGCCCAGGGTTCAGCAATTATCTACTGATATGATGAGAACTTGCCTCTCTAGCGCTTTTATTCTATTCGTAAATCTTAACCAGTCTTAATCTCCGCCCGTGTCCGGCCCAAATGCTGTCTTCCTTTATCGGTTGAGGCCCATGGAGGCGCAGCACACTGTGTGTCGCGGTACTCTCTGTGTTGGTAGGCCTGAGAGACCGCGTACGTATGTGTAGGTTACTGGGGGCCGAAGGATCCTCTTTGGTTGAGTTTGCTTCTTTGGCTGACGTGAACGTTCAGTTGGAGAGCAAGACTGCGATCGAGATGACAGGCTTAGACTTTGGAACACTCGGCGAAGAGACACAGTAGAGCGGTGCCGGCGGTGACGCTCAGAGCCGTCGCTTCCGGATTCACTGACTGAGCACGACGATCGGTCATCAGCACGTCCATTTTCACCAGACACACTGTCGCTGCTGCTCGAGCTGCCGACGGAATCCGAGTCGTTAGCCCGGCGAGAGAGGCGGCTGCTGAGAGCTTTCAGCAGCCTGCCGCCGCGGGGAGCTGTGATGGTTTCCGACATCTCTTCGATTGGTGGGCAGACGACAATCTTCGGAGTAACAGACTCGCGGCGCGGGTTGTTCTTAGGGGTCCGCTGTTGCACAGCTACGTTCACCGGCAGATCGCCGACGAACTTCTCACTCGTCAAAAAGTTGATTCCCAGCTTATTTTTCATATGGTCGACGTTATCACTTCCGTACAGGAGGAGACACACAAGTATTTTTTTGTTTTTGTTGATACAACGAAATGTTGTGATTGAAAACTTTTCCGGTTTTCGAGCGTGGTTGGGGAGTTAGTCGCGTAAGATCGCTCCGTCAGGGTGAGTCGCGAACTGTTGGCGGGTGGGAGGCTGCGACGGTTTATATCGAGTTTCTCGCGCATGCGTTGTGTTAGGCCCAATTGTTCATGCACCGGTACACGTAGATGCATGCCTACCGAGCGGCACCATCACTGGGATGTCGCTATGGATACCTTGTAATATGATGAATGGGTTGAATAGTGATATACTTTAGTAAGGTATTATATTTCTTTCAGTTTGTTTGAAATACATTTTCTAGGATTATAGGAATGTTGAAGGACTTGAAGATATTTGTTAGGTTTGTTGTTGTTTAACTAAAAAGTTTATTTGTTTGATATAAATATGGATGGACAGTATTTAGAGTTTGGCGGTAGCAGAGGTAATAAATTGATAGTGGACAGTTTTACCATAGTAGACGTGTGATAATGGAAGTCGTACATAAGGCGAGTAAACACTGAGGTAGGTAGGTACTTTGTAAACCATACAATCGGTAGATTCTGGAGTGAAATATATCATCATAATTATATCGTTATTATAATTAGGTACCTCTTATGCAAAAAACATGTAGTATTATTTTCGCCTACAAAGGACTTTCAATAAAGTATGTTTAATTTATTTGCCTTTAAGTTTAATGAGAGCAACAAGGCGCTGTTCCATTCATTGAATTTAAAGTTCACTAGGCGTTTGATATAAAATTCAACAAGTTGTTTATTGAAAGCGCATTGACTTTATCTTATTTTCGACTTATCGGTCACAATGTTGCTCTTGAACTGTTATTAATCTAGTCTCAATTAAATAGAGGTATTTATATTGTCAATATTCTATACTATGTCAAATAATGAGGCTCATGTGTGCAAATAATGTGCTCAATGTTTTGAGTATTTCAGTAGCCTATGAGTCATGTCGCGGAGAACCTAACGGGTAACCGGGGCTCCGGCTCGACGTGCAGGAGAAGGAACGGGGTGGTTTTTAGTCAGTAAGAGTCTGACACTCCCTCCCGCCTCACCCAGGCGGGGGCAGTCATTCGATGATTTTCCCCCTTTAAAAAAAAAAAAAAAGCCTATGAGTCATAAGTATTCTAATTTTGGTTTGTATACCATCAAAGGTCGATTTCGAAGATGTGTGCTTTCAGTAATCATTTAAGCTTTTTTTTCTTCGAAGGGATAGGTAGTATGTACCTAATTTGTAATTCATCCATTTTTCGCATCATTTCCATCGGATTGCATCTAGGTAGGTACCGACTAACGTCTTTATTTCTTGTTGAGATCTTTGGAATACCGGATTCGGCTTAAACTGAAATTACCGATCTCAGGTATCTTTTTGTAATTAATCTGTTGAAATTAGATGAAAAGACGCTCACAGCTAGCCTTATGGAAACCTTCAATGTTGATTTATAAAGAAAGAGATTCAGTATTCATTAAATATAACGGTGTGAGGTATTTATATACATAATAACCTTGCTGGATAATTAAAGTTAAATATAAATTAAGTAGTTAGTATGTTCGTTTAATGCATACGTTACCTTCAGTGGTTAGGTATATGAATGTAGTCTAGGAACAGACTAATCTGATGTATGCCTACGCATTCACCTTTAGACACGTATTCTAGTAATTAAAGTTATATTTAAAATATAAAACCACAGTCTTTGAGGGTGTAAATATATTATATTAATCTAAATTTGTGGTATTTATTATGTAAAACTTAACTCGCGATGTTCAGTTTGCGCAATATAGGTAACTCTTGAAGGAGTGCCTTCACTATTTATTTACCAATTACCACTCATATCAAGCTATAAATAGTCATAAAGATTTTTTTAAGGGAAAAAGCATCGAATGACTTTTCCCGCCTGGGTAGGTCATAGAGCTGTAGAAGCTTGAAAATAGATATGTAATAAGTATAGTAATTAGAGCTTAAAAAGTGTTATTGCAGGCGGCGATTATTTCAGTTTAGGAAGCACAATGATACCAGTTAATAGTAAGTTTGACAACGAACTGAACCTAATTGTTGTGCTACCTGTTATGCAAGTGTGTCTCATAATAAGCGACGAACATAAACCCAGGCATTATACATGATGAATATATTTATGATGTTTTAGCTATTAGGTACATAAGACATCAATCTGGTAAAGTGGTATTTAAAAAGTTGCATGTCAATTATCAAAAATGAATGATTAAAGAGGAAGAACATCAAGAAGTAAACACATCAATCCAGACATCATGAGTATGGTTTACAAATCTCATTGCGATTAAGGTCAAGCCGTAACATTCCCGTGGTGTAAGCCACGTGGTTTTTCTCAAGACGATTTCTTAAGTCACCTGACGCACGTGACCGCTCGATCGCACGAGATCGACTTAATTAATTTCTAATTGAACTTATTTGTCTCCACTCCCGACTGCATGGAGTGTTACGCGTTCGGTGACGACAACAGGTGATTAGAACGAGTGTGGGATGGCGTTTGTAACCTTCTGGTTTCGAGACAAGTCTCGAGAAAATATCGACACAGTTTTATTTATCACGTGGGTCCTGATTTTATTGAGGTAACGAAACGTGTACCTCGGGAAATTGTAATGCTTCCCATTTTTCAGTCGCCTGCAACCTACATTCGAAGTATTTGTCTAAATTAGAATGGTTGGGATGAGTGTAATGTTTAAATTAACATTAATGTTCCTTTAGCGCAATATAGAATAGAATAGAATAGAATTTTGTCACGGAGAACCTAACGGGTTACCGGGGTTCCGGCTCGACGTGCAGGAGAAGGAACGGGGTGGTTTTTAGTCAGTAAGGGTCTTACACTCCCTCCCGCCTCACCCAGGCGGGAGCAGTCATTCGATGATTTTCCCCCCCTTAAACAAAAATCTCTAGAATTTTATTTCACATGTTTTTAATAATTATGAAATAACCCGTTTGTTAAGGCTTGAGTTAAGGTCATTTTAAGAGAGGGTCTGGTACTACTGGTCCATGCAAATAATTACCAGCCAGTTAGGGACTTCGACAGTTTGTCATTTATGTAGTTTCAATTAGCCAAAAGAGTAATTTTATTAACCCAAATATTACATATAGTATGTGACGTACTCACATCTATATGTCATTATAACATATTTTCTCCACAAATTTTGCGTATTTTGTAACTTACAAGAAGAAAATATCGTTTGAATGTTTATACCACGAAGCTGATATCCCTTTGAACAACAATTTTCCCGTTAAAGTATTTACCTTCTAAGTACGAGTCGACGTTTATTACATTCTATTAATAGATAGACTATTACTGCTTGTGATCCGACACGGTGGAAAGCTGCACAGTTGCAGGACTTGTTATGATTCTCTAAGATCTATTTTAGTGTTGTTTGTTGATGTTGAGAATTCGTTATAAATCTCTTGTTATGACTATGCTTGTAACTCGAGTATTCTATATTTCTAATTGTTTATTTCGCGTCGTGATGTAGGATTGTTTAGCATTGTTATGATGTGGGAGGAATCCGCGGCTAAACTATTTTGAATCAACAACCCGACTTCAACACTTGTGTAACTAAAACTAGTTACACAAGTGTTGAAGTCGGAGATGTTACCAATGTGAAACGGCAGGGTTTAAGACTTCGGGATTTTTCAGTTACTCCAAAAATGGGTTAATAGTAAGGGCTCGACTGTCTATCAAGTCTTTTATAGCCGTGATAAGAAGTTTGTAAGTCATGTCATATAATTTTAACGGTTATGGAGACCAACTGGCTTTGATAAAATCTACGTTTAAAATACTGACATATATTTTAAATTCAACCTGAAACAAAATCAAAAGATACGAGACAAATTAATATCTAGGATACAAATATTTAGTAGGTGGGGCCACCTACATAGACAGAAAATTATTAATTCGCCTCAAAGGTGTTATGGTACACGTGCTAGTAAAATGTGGAGTTTTAAAGAAATATATTTTAATTAATTAATTCTCTACTAGCAACCCGGCTTCACTCGGGTGCAATATGCATGTATTATACATATAAACCTTTCTTAATAATCACTGTGTGTATTAAAAGAAACCGCATCAAAATCCGTTGCGTAGTTTTAAAGATCTAAGCATACATAGGGACAGACAGACGGCGGATAGCGACTTTGTTTTATACTATGTAGTGATGCCAAACTTAGGTACATACTTAGTACGTAATAAATAAGGAGTGAGTCTATTACTACCACATCGGTGACAATTTTAGGATTCATGATTTTACTGAGACTTAGGTAATTATGTTGTCCACTTACTCAGAGGCTCATATAGTAGCAGCGCGACAGTCACCGAATCGTGTGTCGCGAGATGCTGCTCATCAATATGAACCTTTAGTATGGCTTGAAACTAGTTGAGTTCCTCGTTTAATAATTATGCAAGTAAGCCGAAAACATAAACATTAATGTAGTATATCTCACAACAGTTATAACATAATTCCTGAGGCCTTCTGAATATCGTCATCGCAGTTATTAATACCTGCATGGCAAAGTCGGGACTTCTTCTCTGAAATTCGTACTATATTAGTGCACAATCCTACCTATGAAATTGCCAGTTTTCCGTAATATTTTCTTAATTCGACCTGATACTTGTTTAGCAGGACATATCACATAGTCTAGCACGTTTCGTTAGCATTGCCTCTCTACCACGTGACAAGACGATCGGCCACGACTCACGTATCTGTTTTATTGCACAAATCTATTGTAGATTTACCGCCCACCACTGTAGCCACCATAAAAACGTTGAGCGTGGGACGAACAACAAACTAATTCCTTGTTTTTTCTACACTATCAATTCCTGTATACGAAATAAATGCTTTCATGCTTTGAACAGGTGACCGGACAAGTGCCTAAAATAGATTTACTCGCTTAAACTAATATTTGGAAGTGGTGTGTCAGTTTTAAAGCTTAGTAACTGCTGCCTCCGTACTCTGGATAGGACTTGGTAAGAATGTACCTAACCAGTTGGAGATGGATGTGTCCTACGGCAAGTACCAACTTGTACTAAAAAGAATGAAACCAAATTTCAAAG